GGCTTGTACGTGTACCAGCTTCTTCCTTTCCGCGGGGCCATCGGAAAGGTCTCTGCGTCTCCGAAACATCAGTTCACTTGAACAACTATGACCCGAACATCGAAGTGCAGTTCATCAAGTTACCACCATTCACTTCGCAAGAATAACAAAAATATAACAACGGCAAGTTAGTGGGGTCGGATACAAATAGAATATAAAGATGAAGGCTAGGGAAATGCGTTAAACTAATCAGAATGAAATGAAAATTGACAACTAGCTGCAGGAAACCGAATGCAGCAACTCCACTGACTGCATGACTATGCCATATCTGATACGGTCCGATCTCCACCCATTGGTGTGGACCATCTCGAGGCCTCCATTCACGAAGGCGGCACACACCAGCCTGTCCAAGTCTCTCAGTCAATTTATTCATGCCTCTATGTCACGTTATGGACTGGCCACCTCCTGGTTTCACCCAACTTGGTGCAGCCACGGCGTATAATGCACGCCGAGGAAGCCGGTCAGTGGACATACGGAAGACATGGCATAGCCAGCGTAAGCGATTAAGATTTAATAAACACTCGAGTGCGACACCAGAAGGCTTCTTGCCAAAAACCCATTTGCAGACCTCAGCACTGCTCACATCTAGTGGGAACACCAGATACAACTTATCGATGCTTCAGAGATCCATTTACAGTTACGATGGTTCAAGTCGAGTGCACTGCAAGCGTCAGCGGTATTCTTCATGACGCACTTGAGACGATCCCTGTCAGCGTTCACTTCACCAACCTCATTCATCACTGACAATTGGTGGGCCAGTTCGTTATGATATTGTCGAACGGCAACCTACGAGTTCAAGTTACAAGAAGGTTGGAAGATAGGCACTTCTTTGTACCGGGGAGAGTGAACACCAAGCATGCACGCACTAGAGCATGATCGGAATCAAGGCACCTCCTCCAAATTGACCGACAGTCTTGAACTGATGCGTGTCATCTTTAGTTGATGACGAACTGGTCACTTTGGGTCCAAGCCATTAAGGAATTCGGTGGGCGCCTGGTGACGTGGTGTGAGCATTTGTGCTGGAAATAACTGTTGTTAAGATATAGGTTATAGTCGGCGCATAGTTGCAGAAACCAATCAGCCTTGTCTGTCCGGCTTGCATCGACTCCGACTTGACCACCCTGGTATTTTTTGTCTGACAGACAACCTACTTGTGCATTCATGTCAACAGCCACAAACATGATGTCAGTAATTTTCGCTATGCTAAGGAGAGATAAGGGCTGTTGGTAGCAATCATATTTGATACCCTCTGAACTGCATTCAGTAGGGGCATCAACTGAGGCGATAAAAAGGCACCTTGTCTTCATATGGTGCTTAGTAATCTCAACAGAGATTCAAAGTCGGACCACACACATGCGGCTGTTCACCGGTATCCAGTCGAGCAGACTGCCTTCAGCATGTTTGCTGAGGGCAATACCAACACCGTAAATACCTTGAGCCATTGACTCAGTATCGCCAGAGACGCGAAGAGTGTAGCCATCGTCGTCAGATTCAGAACCAGGGAGTCGAAGATTTGTCACGACGCTGTTATCTTGTATGCGTGTTTCGGAGACACAGCACACATCAATACCAAGAGAGTGAAGAGTGAGAGTCAGTGCTGCCTGCTGGCCGATCTGACCTAGAGTGCGGACGTTAAAAGAACCAATGTGAAATGAAACTCTAGGTTTGATGGAAGAGCTATATGTATCGATGGCAACATCTACCAGATCAGCGATGGTCTCTTGCTCATTAGACGGGAAAGGAGAGAGGAGAACAAGAAGAAGAAGAGGCAGTATTATTGACGTGGTCGAGAGGGCAGTTGATACTCTCCGGCTGCCCATTCTAAGAGGCGGGTTTTGTTCGAGGTACTTTACCTCTAACCTTTGACCCGACATTCTGTCCCACAAAGCGCTGGGGAATATGCAGTTTTGCTTGAGGGTTTCCACTCGGAGCCTTGGTTCAATAGCCTGACTCACAATGTAGTGAGTAGCAAGTTCAGCTCGGGAGTATGATTGCAGACCCATTGGGTCTACTTGGGGCCAGTCACACACAGTTTTTGAAGATTTAGAACAATGTACACCTGTTTTACTTCCGTTTTATGTTGTACAACTGCGACTACGGCAAGCCGCTGGTGGGAGTTGGCGGGTTTACATTAATTTGACTCGAAGCTGCCTGGCTTGACGCGAGCGGTAGCAAACCATTGAGCACCCCAAGGTGCCTTCACACCGTCAGAGCCATTGCGTGGCGCTCGTGCTCTACGTTAATCGATCTGTGAGCTTATAACGTAGACCTATTGTCTTCCATGCCAAGGTTTTAAAATGAGTCATCCGTCTCTCTCTAACCTCCGAAGAGGATTGGATTGTGAGACCGAGTTAGTCAGATCCATAACCATTGACCTATCTGGTGTGAGTTGCTCTGAAGACACTTGGAAAGTGCGACTTAGCGTAGCTCTCTGGGTCACGAGGGTGCGCAAACCATCCCACCACGCTGAGGTCCAGTCTCGTTGCATGATTTACGTTTGTCAACCTGAGATTTTTATGGGTCGATCCGGCCATACCTCTCCCGTACAAACGTAGGTCTACTATGCCACCGTACATGAGGTGGCCTTGTAAGGTTGTGAGCCCTGACTATTCCCGTGGATGACTTGCTTTGACTTTCAGTCTCCAACAGCCGGTATTCGTGGAGTATCACGCATGTAGTGATGAAACCGGAATTGATCTCTTGGCAAACTCGAGTCTACTATTAAACATATCTTGCTACGCATCTCATTGACTCCTGTGCGTCATGCGAGAGTTTACCTCATGGCTCTCCGGTTTATCGCACAGAGCAACGCTAGAAGAGACTGTGCAGTGGTCAGCACACAACTTAACGACAAAACTTTGGTTGGGCCGCATTCATGAGACGCTCTTGGTTTACTCTGTCGGTGATTGAACTGTTCATTCATCTGGTTTGTAAGCGACCAGTCGTCGCTTCAAACCTACGTATGGGCGATCGATGTTGCAGAATCACAACCCACATGTAAGTGGTGGTGGTTACGCGGCGACGAAGCGTTGGTGCTACGTGAGGGCATGCTGCTTACCTTTTCTCATTCTGTTGAGTTCTTTTAACTGAGTGTGTTCCAACTGATCCTGGCTAATCACCTTATTTAATCATGGTCTCGATATTGCTTGGAGGTCCATCATTTTTCTGGTGGCTAGACAGTAGTCTACCACCACTTTTGCGCCAGCGAAGTTTAGTTAGGTGTTTTAGGGAAATGCGGAGTTTCACTTTACATGTTAAGATTCCGCCAAACCTAATGCTATCATTCTCGTGTCATCGCTATTTATATCAGCACTTGAATGGATTGAACTGGTGGTCATCCATGAACGCAATTCATGAATGCCTTTCGGTACATGTAGATTTTCGCTCTGGTGGCCGTAGATCTTGGCACTGGTCCATCTACGAGCAAACAGGTGCTGCTTACGTATTCGCACATCTCTGATCCACAATCAATAATAGAAATCTGTTCAGGTATTCACATTCAAAGGATTACGTCCCTCAAAAAGCTGGCCTTATAGTCATGCTGTGATACGTGTTTTCATGACTGTTTCCATTCATTGTCGATGCCTTTATGTACAAGCGATTTGTTTCGACTGGGTTGCTGATACAAATGTGAACTTAGTCGGAGGTTGCGTTTTATATGAACATAAAGTGTAGGTCGCGGTAAGCAACCGTGTTTTTTCTGTTCCCAGTGTTTGACGTAAATCCAATGGATAAGATCATCCTTGAACATATGCATCCTTCGAACGACGTTATGCGGGCATTGACGAGGAAATGCATAGACTGTAGTTCACAGTAACTATTGTGTCTATCGGCGCTACCGAACGTAACCGTCTTTAATCTTCTTAGCTCAACATGCTCTACGGTAGCTAACTTCCAATTTTACACCTCTTGTTTGTCGCCGCTTCTGTGTGACATCAAGAATCACAAGCAATGTACATATGAACATTCGCTGCGTAATCTTGAAACATTTAAAGTGCGCTGTCCTAATAAACTATTAAATAGTTCATTTGTGAAGAAGTTTTGATGGATTGGTTCGATTACTGATACAGTTCCCTTCTGTTGTCCTACACTGCAAAGGCCACAAGTATTTGGGACAATCGCTACAATCGCCGCATCCCTTGAAACCCATTGCAACCACACATTTGAACTGCTTCTGGTTAGCATCGTAGGCGCAGCTTTTTTTAGGGAATCCAGTGTCCCTTTGATGGTACAAACAATGCTTTGCTTGCAACCACGAAGCCTGACTTTTGAACTTCGTGAACTTCTCTCGTTATACACATTTTAAACATTACCGTAGATTTTAGGGGGCCACTTTCTGCTTACTACTGGTCTCACTCAACATTTTTTGGTCATTGTGTGACCAAAACACTCCTAAATGACTGTCATATTTCAAGTGAGAACCAACTTGCTTTATACAATCTGCAAAGAATCATAATTACATCGATACTGCAAGTATGCTCCTATCTCATGTTTCATTACTCAGATCTTGTTCTATCTCGCGAATTGGTTTTCAGCAACTATTTGAGATTGCTAATTAGTAGGAGGCTTTTCAATTGTAATGTTTTCGTCTCAGCTGCTCACAAGCTACATAGCACAGTCTGGTCCGGAAAAGCACCAGACGCGTTTCGCCATTGGGGCTCGTCTGTGGTGCGCATTTCCTCGGTCCACTACTGGGGATCGAACCCATGACCACTAGAGGCAGATGCCAACTAGCCAGCGGCCTAAGCCACAGATTATTTTGCACGTCTGTACATGTTTTCTGGGGTTGAGTCCATTGGCATCAGGTTGCAGCTGCGCACCTAGACTGAATACAGACATTGAGCTTACTATCAGTTTCTCTGTCTAATGATAGTTCAGTGTTACTTCAATTCTGGTTCAGTGTTTTGGCTTTGCACCGCTCGTACTGAACATCGAAGTTGCCACAAAAATTTCAATTTTAGCACATGGCAGTCGTCCGGTCGTTCTCATTTCTGGAATTTATGGTTCCTTGCACTTTCCAACCGTCGTCTACCTGAGCAACGCAGTACCCGTACCAGTCCCGGTGTCAACAGCCACGACATCATATTCCTCACTTCCGACGGCAGTCTCACTTCCGTGTCGAATCTGGGCTATGAAAACTGGCGGGTACGTCTGTGTATTTTTCAATCCTGGTGGTAGTTCTGTCAAAACAAACTGCTATCGAAACTTCCGATCTTTCGAGGCTCAGAATGAGTGATTGAGTTCGTTGCGACCATTACACTGCTTTCTGTAAACCGAACAAGTTCTTGACCTTGATTAACCCCTATTTTTCACGATGTACATCAGGCGTTGCATCGTTTTAGCACAGCTTTAGATTGGCTCTTTTCTCTGTTCGGCACTATTCCACGGGCAAACCCCCTAAGCAATTGGGGCGTTGTCTCGGCCACGTATTGCGCATGCCATCCTATCGCCTTCCTCGTCGAGAGTTATTTGCGCTCTCCGGAAGCGACTGGGGTGGACAACCAATGATATGGAGAAGGAGCATGAAGAATGCAACCTCAAGTTTGGCGGCAGTCAGACCTGTCTGTCTTCCAAGTTGGGGACCACGCGATTCGGACTGCTAACGGTTGGAAACGTTGGAGGCTATGGCGCGCAACTGGCATCAGTGGAGATAGTACTGTTCAACTGTGTTATCTACCAGCCAACATCTCATCGAACATAAAACACAAAAATTCTCAAAACGGCGTCTTTAAAAGCGAAAATGTCGTTTTCTCATGTTGTATTTCGTTTCCCTTTTTATTTCGCCATGCTTCTGCTGGCACTTTATCTGCAAGTAGATTACGAATATATAAATACAGGGAAACCCGGCTAAGGCGGCCACTCAAGGGACCGACAAAAAGTGAACGCCTCCGATATATATATATATCTATAATTGGGTCCAGTTGCTCACACTCTTGGCCACCACATTATGATGCTGCTTTGGCTGTTCTCTAACTGATATTTTTGTCATTGACATCTCAGATCTCTTGGTTGCGATAATAACTACGGAGGTTAATCTATCTATGGCCAGGACCATGTGCTCATTATAGGGTTTATTTGTTTGTGCCATAATGTTGAACTGACACTTAGTTTTCAATAAATCCCATACCAGTGTGTGGCGGTCGCCGGTTTTATGCGTCCGGTCTTGATAGCTCGTGTTAGTTGGACATATTTCGTTCCTCCTTTGGCATTTGTCGTCATCGACACTCTTGACGAATTGGCGTGTTTAATAACACACTGTGTCAAATTGGAGCACTGATTGCATTTTCCCTATGAGTCATAAATTTCTCAGATTACATCATTTAGCACAGTCTCTTATGCGGGTATCATTAATCGATGTGTTTGATTAGGATTCACACCTTTAACAATCTCGTTACACCTTGTTGGAACAAAACCAGCGGTTTCATCTGCTCTTCTTTGCTCACACCTACTGTACGCCCATGAGACATCCGCTGACGACATCAGCTTGTGTTTCGATAGAAACCGATGGTGAAATGCGGGTCGGTTGTTCATTCGTTCTCCGAGCTTGGCAGTTTGGTTGCAAACGTTTCACCACCATGTGAGGTGGCATTGCCGGCGCAGTTAACTGCAACGCGTAATCTTGTGAAGGATATAGGGCATTTTGAACCACGAGACACATCTTAGCCAGCTGTGATGAACCATAGCATCCAGCTGGATCAGTGTGCTTTGATCCCGGTATTTTGTATGCTTGATTCGATTGAAGCAGCTGCACTTCAATCGATTCAACTAGATGATAGCACTCAAACAGTACATACGGCTCATCAGCCCATTAAAATTTTGACACTTGTCTTGCCCGTTCATTGGTAAACCGATAACGACCAGAATGGGGTTCGTAGTGGCAATTTTTCTGTTTTTCCACTCTCAACAACACACCGTGTTACCTGTTTTGCCCCTAACTTTTCAGTTTGAACTGGACCGTTACGGTTGATGAATGTCGTCTTATTTATCAGGCCACTGAAAGTGGCTGTGGATTATAGTGTTGAACGCGCGAAACAATAAGGATTCTCCACTCCAGTTACAGCCTCAGTGATCGGAATGACCAATGTTTACTGCAAAGTGATTCAAGGGCGCAATCGCGATTACGTTTCTCAACCCAAGCGCACAACGGGTGCTGCAAAACCCAACAAATAGGATTCCTGGTTCTTGTTGAGTCATGGCTCGACAATCCTCGATCAGGCGCACGCTAGTCGTTCAAATTGATGGCAACTATGTGGAGACCTCATGATGACATACTAAATTCTGAGCGACCGAAATCACGTGTTCCTTTAGAAGCTCTTCCCAAGCATTAACCTGATATGTGAGCAATACACTCGTCTAGATTGTCCGCGAAATTACTTCCTTTAGGTCTGCAATCATTGAACACTCCTCCAAAATCTGTCGTTTGTGCCCCCACACTGTATCCGTCTCTAATACGTACTTGGGTCTCGTACTTAGCTCCCTTCAGTTATCACGTAAATGCAGTATTCTAAACTTTACCCCTGTGACGTGGCTTATTTGAGAGCATGCTCCGCACTAATATCAAAGCATTTGCATGTCAAACCCAGTTATTCTTTACGAGAAGCGTTTTTTGCAATTTTGCATGGTGCTCTGTCACTCCTAAACTGCCGTTGTATTATCCTCTCGGACTTGTTACCCGCAAGGTTTTTCTACCATTGTTCCATGGATCCATTAATTATGAGTGGGCACAATGCACTGTTCCACATGGAATAGCACTTAGTAGACGACTGTTTGGTGTCGGCTATCCATTTGTATTGGACCTTTAGACACCAGTTGCCAGTCATCAACGCGCTGTTTTCACCATCGCGAACTGCAAGTTTGTTCGAAACACCGATCTTGTGCGGACTCTCGTTATAGTTAATGATAAGCTTAATAATGGTATATTTCTCGATATTGCGAGACGCGGCCAGCAACAATCGTCATCATCATCTACAGCAATACATCAGCCATTTAAACTGAAGCTTTGCTGCCATACAACGGAAGGAAGAATAATAGAGGGGGAGAAGATGGACTAACCGGATAACCCTAATGCCCTAAGCAAACGTTCAGGGTCAACCCGTCTACATCTTGTTAACAACATGCCATCACAAACAGCTGGCTATCGTGCGAAGATAAAGCAACATCAGCGAGACAGCTTCCTTGGGGCTTTCACTGCCCCGCGTCATAATCAGCCATTACCCCGTAGATAACTCTGCACCAAACACAATTTGCTCAGACAGTCCGAATAAGAGACGACAGCAGGCACACCACTGGTGTCAACTGCCAACCATTTTCTGCAAAATCTCGAGCCAAGCATAAGGCGAGTCACGTGTCCTCCAGCCTGGAAGGCGAGGTAGATCGATAGCATCCAATTTGGGCGTCAGTGATTTCATTACCTCTGCTAACCCAAATTTTGTCCACCTCGAACCTTGCGTCACTCTACATCTGGCAGATAAAGCAAGGCCCTCCTTGTTAAGTGGTGACCTGCCCAAGCCAACGCAATCTATTTAGTGTTATCTGTTGTTCTAAGGGAGTAGTACTCGCGTATGCACATAGTCATTGCGGACACGCTGGTCCCATCCGACACCAGCAATGCTTCGTAGGCAATGATGATCAAAGACTTGGAGGCGCTTCAGATAGACGGGGCCAACTTTCACTGCGAGATACGTGAAACTACATTGATCAAATGAAACGCAGCGTCTTGTAACTATTGAAATCAGACGTATTTTTGCAGCTTCCTTGTGCCGACAGTTTGTGGGTAGGCTTTCTGTCTCCTCGTTTTGCATTACAGACCAAAATAAACAAATAAACAAACATTTTACTCCTCGACGGTGCGGGGCACAATCGAAATGAGTGGACTGATCAATTTGTCCATCGGGCTCACATAAAATGGTGCTTGTTCATGTTTTGTACAACGGGTCCCAAATGGGTTTCTCAACTGAATGGCGGTTTGATAATATTAGAGAGAGCAAGAAACAGGGAACAATAACATATGCCGATTTGACCAAAAGTCCAACTAAAATAATACGGTCACCCATGGAACTGTCCCAAGGGAACCTGATTCCATGCGGATTAATTCCTCGATGGGTTTCACCCGCACTTCCATGCACCGACGGTCTGTGTGCCGGTGTGACAAAATAGCATGTAAGCCATCACCAGTTTCACAAATGTCATTTTTTATTAGGGCTGTTTCATGCATGCATTATGGGCGATGAAGCCTCAGCCCGATCCGTCATGCGGATCATACAAGCATGGCACTTTTTTGTTATTTGCCAGCGTTTCAGTGGCAGTATGCTTTGTATAGGTATAACTTTTTGGAAGCTGTAATCCGTCACCTCAAGAGATTAGTCCACTCGTGACCAACAGTGGAATATAGAAAATATAAGGTATGTGGAATCAAAAGCATTATATTGTTTACAATCTTCTGAGAATAGACCAAGCATAGTTTGGTGGGAAATCATTGCGAACAACGACGATCGTTCAGAGATTTCAGCTTGAAAGACGTTGGTCATCTCCGAAACAATGCACCAAAAAAGAATCATACGGTATTGGTTAAACCAGAGTGCAGGATTGGTAGTAATAAGATGGATTGTAAATACATACTAAGTTCATCCATCTGAAGAGAAAATCGTAATATTGAAACAGATAGGGGATATAGCAACTTTTAAATGTATCCTAAATCCCATACAAATCATCTTGACTAAATGTTAACAAGAGATTGGAAACGGCCAGGTGAACATTGATCATCCGTTTGAATTTCGGATAGGAAGAGCATTTTCTGATATTCGATGGAAGTTTATTCCATATCGACGCATATTTGCGGAGTATATCCGGAAGATTATATCCTTTTTCACGTATCTTCTGCACATTCATACATAAGGATCAAGATCCAAATCACTCCGTTTAGACGACTATGGCTCAGGCGACGGATTCAGTTTCTGCGACTCGTCGGCAGAATAACACTGATCAACAATAATGGGGAAAATAAGGCAGAAATTAAACAAAATAGCGAAAAGGTGGTTGGGAGAAAAGTGTGTTAACT